AGCACCTCCAAAGGTGCCGAGTTCGGCCACATGCGACCGTCGGCGAGCTTACGCAACAGCCCCGCCCCCGCCCTGACACACTGTAAAGGTCCCACATGGGACCTTTGAAGGCACCAGTCGAAGTAGGCATAGGCAAGGCCCCAAAGCAGACCTTTTTCACCTCCAGAGGTCCCGAATTGGCAACTGTAAAGGCACCACTAGTAAAGGGTCCGCGCGCAGCACCATTCGAGCCAAAACAGTGTACTCCTATGTAGTGCACATTTCTTTGGCTTACATTAAAAATATTTTTGTCTGGTAGAAGATGGATTTTTTGACTTGTGTTGTGATTGAGTATGTCACCTGCCGTTTGAAATTTCTTTTCATTTTTTTTCCACATATTTGAGAAGGTCATAGTCACGATTTTTGATTGTTTAAAAAGGGGTTTACAGCTTTCAAATCTTGATATGCTTTGTAGATATTTCTGAGAGCCTTCTTTTGAAGTTTAAAAACGTCCTACATCGTGGTGGAGTTGCCCCAGATGAGGCTACCATAACTTAGATGAGAGTGGAACATTGCATGATAGGCTAGTGTGGCTGTTTTAACGTTTGTGAGCTCTCGAATTCTTCTAATGCCATAAATTGAGGAGTTTAGTTTAGGTATGATATATTCTGCATGCTTGTTCCATCTTAAAAACTGGTCGATGTGAACACCCCAAAATTTTGTGCGTGTCACTCTTTGGTCCTTGTATATAATTTTATCTTAAATCACCACATTCTCATTGGTTCCAAATTGCACAATGTTGGTCTCTGATTCATTCAATAGAGGAGAGAGGGGGAAGAGCGAGATAGAGAGGGGGAGAGGTAACAAATATTGATAGTATTGGTTGCCGGGATTAATCACATTGATATCGAGTAGATTTATCAGCTTATCACAAAAGATAAGGAGTGAGCTTTGATTTTAAACTATACAGTGACTTGCAGACTTGCATGTCGTAATCGGTACCTCAGAGAGAGAACCGCTTAGTCGTCCGAGGCCCCCCCCCCCCCCTTGAAGCAACCATTGACAGTAAATTTGTATCAAAATACGGAGGTATACAAGTAATTGTATAAAGCTGTATAAAGGTATCTGTATTACATTTGGTAAAACTGTATTACATTGTCAGTATAACTTTTAGTAAAATATTATACAGTATATACTTGAGCGTTTCAATAAAGAAGCGGCCTTAATCGTTTTCAGCAAATATGTTTTCCAAATCATTTTTTTGTCCCGAACACGATAGTGGTTGTTTCACTTCCCTATGAGGAGCCGTTTAAAAGTTATGCTGCATTTAAGAACTCAATCACATTTTGCCTTCATTTAGGGGAGTGGCCAGTAACTTTATTAGTCCTTGAATGAATGTATGTGCCTGTATAAATTCTTATGTACGGAAGGTGACATTTATTCTCGCACTGCAAAATGCTTGCAAAGAACAGGTTCGTATTGCAAACTATTTTCTTTGCAGCTTGCAAAGAATTTTCAAGCATCGTAATACGAACTAGTTCTTCGCAAGCTTACAAACAATTTCTTTGCAATGCAAACACATTGTTTGCAAGGATTCTGCCAGCTTGCAAAGAACTTCTTTGCAATACGAACTAATTCTTTGCAATACAATGCTCACAAATTCTTTGCAACGTTGCAAAGAATATAGTTTGCAAGCATTTTACAGTGCGTGTATGTGGCTGTATATACATGCGCGAGGTACAACGATCCTCTGATATATCGGGGCCTACTCTGAAAACTCAACATTGCACATTGTATGCATGCATTGTATGCATGGGGTTCAAATTGATCGAACTTGGCTTACACTACCGACATTCTCGAGAGGCGGACCATTACGGCAGTGCACTCTCATTTCCCTATGGATGTGCAATCCGTATGTTATGGAGAATTTTGTGCTAACATATTATGGATCACAAATTATCCATAATATGGATAAAATCGTCCGTATTACAGACAATTTGATCCATATTACAGACATGCCCTTCTTCGTAAGGTATAGACCTTTCGTCCATACCCTACGGATGAAGGCATGTCTGTAATATGGATCAAATTGTCTGTAATACGGACAATTTTATCCATATTATGGATAATTTGTGATCCATAATATGTTAGCACAAAATTCACCGTAAGCGTGTCCATAAGGAAATGAGAGTGTGAACCCCATCACATAGTAGCTCGTTTGAAAGCTTTTTGCACGAGGAATCTGGAAATACTACCCACTCTCCGATGTTATCCGTCTGAAAGGAAATATTAGCCAAAAACCTAAACGTGATCATTGCTGCTTTTTCAGCATACACTGTTGCGCAACCGTGGGGACGCCGCCTGGCATCGACGTAGCTGAGCGGTGTGGGCCCCTGCGGCCGCTCCAGGTCGTCAGGAACGATATCCGGGTGGGCTAACCCAGTGAGAGGCTTCGACCCGGCGTTCCAGACCAGGGAGGGGAGCCTTTGAGGGGGTCCACCCAGCGCCTCATCTGTGCAGTCGAAGGCGGGGCGGCGGGGCAGGCGTCCTGGTCGAGGCGAGGGGTAACGGGAGGGTTCGGCCGTATGCAGCCAGGTAACCGCAGCAGCGTGCAGTAATGCAGGGGCAGCCACCCCTAACGGGATGGGCATGCCTAACGGACCATCACTGCCTACGCGTTTGGAGTATCGCGGAAGCGGGATCAGTGAACTGCCATGCATTAATTACTCTGGTCAGCCCCCCCCC